TATTAATACAAATACCTAACTCAAATACTACAACTCATATAACTTCACATATCTTCATGTACATTTAGCCATTGTCATTTTTGTAACTACAAACTACTGTAAAATTTTTTGATAGTATTAATTGTTACGAAAATTTTTACACTTTTCTTTGCATGCATATTTTCTATATGTATCGTTTGTTTCATTATGCTAGGTACAGTAATCACTCTCCCGCTTTGCATCTAATACATAAATTAAATAAGCGCTATACTTCCTTAAGAATAACCCATCCATGCTACGAGTTGAATTCGGCCTAATAGCAGAAGTGCTTTCCCAAGTCGTAACATTGTACTGTTCGGGCTTTCATTGTAATTGGCTGATTGTTGTAGATCATCCCGTGATATTGCAAAAATATCATTGGTTAATCGAAATTATTCGCAAGACAAATTTATATCTGATAGAATTAATAATTAAATATTAATATTGTACAAAATCAAATTGACATTAATAAACACATTACTACGAAATCTATCAATTCAAAGCCTAAAACTATTATCCCAATAAAAACAAATTTAAGATTTTATTTAAAAAAAATAAAAAATACTATTAAACAAATTTTTTTAAAAAAAAAAAAATTATAAAAAGCACAAAAAACAGATAAAAGATATGAAAGACAAAAAAAAGCATATAAATAATTTTTAATTATACATAATAACAGTAATTAATGCAAAACGAATTTAGCCATTATTCTAATTAATAATCGTAGACGTAATGCTATGCTTTAATAATAGACGGAACACTATATTTTAACATCTCATTAAGTTCGCAAGCTCATGCTTTCTTCATTACTTCATGTCACTAAGCTATTTACCGTTAATACATGTCTGTCTTTGGAAAAATAAATAAGTTATAAATAAATAGTTGTAAGCCTTTTGAAATGACTTAGTGTTAGAGGCAAAATGACCCGCGAACGTTACGCCTGAATTCGTCGTGAAACGGTGCTCATGAACCCAAAGAATCGAATTACGATTCCCCTGCAGCATGTTGTGAAATGCATCAAAGCCAAGCCCCATTATGCATTGACGCCATAGATCTCATAGTGCGAAGCCACTTACCCGATTTGACAGATGTCAAGGTAATATTACCTTGTCGGGTAAAGTGTGTGGCCGTGGTAATGTAGCGCGATTGTGTCAATGGGAGGGAAAATGTTAGAGTAACGAAATGGCGCGAACGTATTCTTGTCTTCTATTTTGCCCTGTAAAAATATATAAAAGCCCTTTAGTTTTAGAAGAAAATGTAACAGATGGCAATAATCCGTAACGATATAATAAAGAAGACAAGTTCGTTCATAAAATAACCCTATAAAGTCCATTTGACCATCGTAATGCACATTATTCCCATGTAACCTATTCGACTGAAGCCTTAGACCCAAAATCGTAACTGCTCACCTTAACTGTCGAATAACGGCGTTTACTAATTTCTCCCCCAAGTTTCTCATTGGTTGCAGATCAATAATATTTCCGATTGGACGAAATTGACGATCCCTAACAACGTGATATCATCGACCAATAATATTATCGCATCACAAATAAGAAAAAAAAAATCTAAGTTTTTTTATTCTCGATTTTAGCGCTGCTTACAAGCACTAGGGTATAATTTAACGTTCGTGAATACTATTATGCAGTCGAATTTGGATTAAATACACTCAACAACGACTTAAGAAATGTCTAATAGACGACTTTGGTCATAAATTGATTCGAATAGTTGAGTATATAATAGTAAGTTTTTACTCTATAATTTACGTAAGTTTTTACTCTATAATTTACCCTTTTCTAACTCAAAAAAAGAATTACCATTCGAACCAATTAGAGATCTTGCTAACTATATTTATTATAATTGTACAGTAACTTGCAGCTTAATACA